TATATCTCCTGCTGCATCCAAACCAACAAATCAAAACAAAACAAAAAACAACTGTTTTTCTTCTTTGGAAAGTATCTTTTGCTTCTTAAGAAACTTAATAACATAAAACATATTATAGAAATAATTATTTTCAGCTTTACTGAGGTATGATTGGCAAAAATGCACATATTTGTGACTTATACAGCATGGATGTGTACACACTGAATTTTAAAATTAATATGATGAACATAATCATGTTCTGCAGCAAGAACATGGCAGATCCTTTCTCTTGATGGCTTTCAAATGCATAGCCTATTAGTGAGCATGTCGGCTTATCAGTTCTATTTCTTGTACTTTCTGTTCTTTAAGCCATGTCTCCCATTCTCACCCTCCCTCCCCCGAAGCCACGAGGGTCCAGTTTTCTACTTTCTGCTTGAAGAGTTTGGCTGCTACGGATTATAAACGTTACAGATGTTTTTGGTGTAAATTAATATTCTGTGTTAAGCTCATCAGGGTGGTGCCTCTGTTTCCACCGTGATTCTTCATTGACACATTTTCACCGGCACACAACATCACTCGAGTCTGCTCTTCTGGTTGCACATTCAGCATATGAATTCTGACAGTATATAACGACGGGTGTCCATCAACACGGCACCCTACAGAAGAGTCTCACTGGCCTTAGAATCCTAAGATTCTCCCCATGCCAACTGTTCCAGATTTTTAAAAAAAAAATAAATTTCATTGGTCCACATGTTTGTATCAATATAAGTGTATACACGCGTGTCTGTATGAATGTGTGCACATATGTATGTTTGGGTACTCAAGGGCATCAGATCCCCTGGAACTGGAGTTAGAGATGATTGGAAGCTGTCAGATGTCTTCATGACTCATCATCAGGTACCCTGTCAAGTCTCCCAGATATTTTCATTGTTTCCTAGCCTTGCCTGTTGCAGATTGTGACGGAGCTGAATAAGTTAGCATGTGCTTCTCCACGGCTTATTTCTGCTAATCACGGGCTAATATTTTGTTGTCCTGCCATAGGACCACTTCATTTCCTACCTCAGCTCCTGAAGCCGTTCGCTTGCTTCCTTGTTACTAATTCCGAATGATCTCTGTAGCCCCAGGGCAGGGCTTCAGCAGACAGAGGTTACTAACTCACCAATACTCCTTTAGTGCCCACTGCCTATCTCTCTTTTAAGTGTGGAGTTTGACTCTAGATTTGATCTTAATTTCTATCACTTTACGTAATAACGGAGATTTGTTCCAAGTAACTAAAAGGGATCATGTATATACTTAACTCTAATTTTTAATATTTTATTAGTTCTTTATCAATTTTCTTACAATGTGTTTTGATCATATTTACCCAACCCCTTCCTGTTGCTCCCCACAGATCCACCTCCCTATCCTCCAACTTTGTAATTTTTATTTTTTAAATTCATAACTCTTGGATTCCAGTTTGTTTATTCCATATACTTCTTGCTGTGGGACCTTACACTGGAGTGTGGTGGGCCTTTTAAGCAATTTTCCTCAGGATTTTCTAGGATGAAAGTTATGGCAAGCCAATGCTGTCAGAAAGCTCCATATTTTTTTGTCATTGAGTATTTTTGTGATATCACAACATGATGGCCATAACAGAATTAGCATCAACAGCCAGATCTCTATCATGTGAAATTTGTCTAGGAGAGGAAGTGAAGGTTCCATTTAGTATTCCAGCTTTAAGCTTTCAGTTGCTTCTGTATTAAATTGATATTGAAGTACAAGGTTCTATTACTGAGTTTTAAAAAAGATGTAAAGGCAAAATTATTAAGTTTTCTCTTTAATTTTAATTTAATTTTTATTTTAAAGAACATATTTCACCTCTATAAAAATGGTGGGTTTTTTAGGTTTATTTATTATTTATGTGTATGTGCTTGTGTAACTCTATGTGCACCAAATACATGTAGTGCTCAGGAAGGACATAAGAAGGCATTGGAGTCTCTGGTACTGGAGTTCTAGGTGGGCTAGGAGCTGTCTGATATGGGTGCTTTGAACCAAACCTGGGTCCTCTCCAAGAGCAATAAACGCTCCTGATCTCTGAGCTGTTACATTTATTTGTTTATTGTGTGTATATAAGCGTGGGTGTCCATATGCTACTATACATGTGAGAAGGTCAGAGAACAACCTTCTCCCATCAGCTGGTCATGTACAACTTGGGCATCATCACAGCTGGTGGCCAGTGTCTTTACCACCCGAATCATCTTGCCGGCCCTCATTTTCATCCTTTCTAAAGTGACATGGTGTTTGAATTTACACACTTTGATACTCTAAATGTAAGCAAAAATTTTTTTACTGAGAGAGATTACTTTTCAACAAAGTATACAGGGAATCAGAGAGCAACAGGGATTCAAATGGAAACGTTATTTCCACTGTGGTAAAAGTGACTTCATTGCCTATATATTTGAACAGCACACTCCACATACCTTTTAGAAAAGAAACAATATTACTTCTTGGCCAGTACCAAGTCATCTTCTGCTTTATGTCTGAAATGTCTACTTGATGTAGTTAAGAATAGGAGTCTGCCTTGAGCTTTTGTGAACAAAAGACTTACTTAAACTGCCCGAATTAAAATTTCAGTTAACAATGTAAAGGAAATTGAAGACAGCATTTTCTTAGTTCTTTTGATTGACTTTTCCTTTTAATATGTGGAACAGGTGACAGATGGTATGTAATTCTTTAACCTTTCTTGGTCCAAACTTGGGAAGTACCACATGCTGAACTACACTGGGCTCAAGTCAAATCTGATCTATCATGGAATAGTTGAAGCTTACGCATGTGAAACTGGGTGATGTAGTTTGAACTGTGGACAAGCTCAGCTTCTTCATCCTGACGATGGAGAGGCTGTGTATTATTCAGTCACTCAGTGCAAGGTGCTGTGCATTGACACTTCAGTAGAGAGAGCATACGTAAACATAGACCGTGTACCTCCACTGTGATAGACACTGTAGACTCTGGCTTACTCCTTCTTAACGCCACCCTGTGTCAGTAGTGGCCAGTCCCTCCTGTGCATGGCCACTGTGGGCATCAGAGAAGCAGTGTACTACTGGACAAGATCCTGCCCGCCCCATGTATAAGCTATACATGCTATGCCGTAGAGTTGCGACAATCTTCCCTTTGAAGCTTAAGCACACTGACACTGGAACAATTCCATTTTTATGTTGTGTGTTCATTCTTCAAGTAAAATCCTTGACCTGTACCATTGGATATCTTTATTATACATGGGAAACATTCTGTTTGGGAAGGGTTAGAATGCATGTTGATATTATTTTCTTTTGAAGGAAAGTAGACAAGTATCGAATACGTTTTATGAAACATTAGATAAAGGCTTTGCTTTTTCATCTAATCTGCTATTCAGTATAATGACCATTATCCTCATGTGCCTATTAGAATTAGCTTATCAAAATTTAAAAATTAATTGATTTCCTTGCCACACTCACAACACTCAAAATCTTATTTAATCACCCAACATCTTCTTCAATTTGATGCATATTTTCTTGACATATTTATAATTCTTATTTCATAAATATACAATTCATAATGTTTTTATATGAAATTTAAACTATGCCTAGGGCATCTGTGCAAACCTACACAAGTCATAGTACATACATGTAAATTAGTTTCTGTCTAAGAATATGTTCTGATCACATTTATGCCTCAGTAGATATATGTTTTATTCCTTTGAAATGATCACATGAACTCCATTGCATTTGTGTACTCTGTTACCCTACTAGCTCTCTCCTGATATATTCTTATTTCTATTTTTCCTACTTAGTCAATGTTGAATAGTATATATTCTTAGAACTAAATTGCTGGATTTAAATACGCATATTTTGATTTTATACTTAAAATACTAATAGATGTTCATGAATAGTTTATAAAGGAAACATTACACGGCGATATGTATGATTAGTTTTGAGACTCATGTGGAGGCATTTCTTTCAAAACCCTTGCTGATACCTGAACTAGATCAGTTAACAAGATATTACGTATTATGTAGTAAAAAGCAACAAATGGTTATAAGGTTGTGGGGTAGGGAGAAAGAACAGTATACTGTATTGGTGCTAAATGTAAGTCAGTCCAATTACTGTGGAGATGAGTAAGGAAATTCCTTATAAAAATAAAATTGAACAACTAAAATGGTCCTGGGTATTTGCTGGAAGGAGTCAGTCAGCATAGCACACAGATGGCCATACATACTGCTACATTAGTAGCAGCCAAGCCAGGGATTCCGCAGAGGTGTCCACCAAGGGCGTGAAGGAGTGATTGAAGAAAATGTGGTGTACGCTGCACAATGAAGAATTAGACGTAGAGAAGAGTGGATTATATCATTTGCAGGGAAGTGGGTGGAATCGAAGATCATTAGTACTAAACAAAATAAGCCAGACTCAGAAAGATACATATTGCATGCGTGGTGTTCAGATTTTAAAGAAGATGTGAAAGTAGAAAAGATGTTAAAGATGAGAAAGCACACTCAGGGAAGGGGAATAGGGTGATGCCTGATGTGAATGTGGTCAAGTGTGTTGTGCACATGTATGAAGATGTCACAGCAAAACTCAATATTTTGTATAATCAACACATAGTAATGAAAAACAAAGTTATTGCCATGTAGGGCAGCCTCATATATAATACATATTAATATATGTACATATAGTTTAGTATGACAGTGGTGCCTAAGACATAGGCATGCTTGTATGTTCATGGAAAAATGCCAGTGCTGTGATTCTGCATCAGCTTTAATCTGCGTTGGAAAGATGTGCCTCTCAGGTAGCAGGCCCTGCCAGGCTACAGCAACAGACACTTTTTGTTTGGTTGGTTTTATTTTTGATTTTTCAAGACAGGGTTTCTTTATAGCTTTGGAGCCTATCTTGGAACTAGCTCTAGTAGACTAGTCTGGCCTCGAACTCACAGAGATCCTCCTGCCTCTGCCTCCCGACTGCTGGGATTAAAGGTGTGTGCCATGCAACAGACATTTCTATTACATAGCCATGAAGCCTCTTGATGTGAAGAACTGTGTGGACTTCACTAACTCGGTCAGGTCACTGTTTCATGTTGTTACAGTGTCCTGTAAATGAACTAAGCAATCCATGCACATTGCTTATTCTGAGAGTAGAGGCCACGCCTTTCTCAGAGTCTAAATGACAAAATATTCGCCCTAAATCTTTTTGCTCTTTCAGCAAGGTCACAGTAGCTCACATCTACCAGACTTGGGCTTTGACATCACACAAACTCCTTGGCTTTGTGTAGTGTTTGGAAACTGGTTCTACTCTGTGAAAGGAAGAGCCTGTTATACTTGCCAGAGTCCCAAGCAGAAAGTCCTGGCTAAGATTTCTGGGAAAATGTTAGCAGGATTGTCTCCTCAGTCCACAAGCACTCATATCCTAAGCAAATCCTTTTATATCAAAAGTGACACGACATGGAATGTAAATAGTCCCTTTGAGCTCAAGACATGAATTATTTCCACATGGTCAAGCTGTAGTATTTGTCTAAAGAAAGAAGCTAGAAGGATTTCTATAGCTTGTTATCTCTAAAGACTTCAAGTATATAACTTCTTGGTACCATCGTGGATAGGTGTGAGGTAGAGATCTCTTCTGCTGCCTTTTGGGTTTAGTTCTTGCACACTTTCTGTGTTTTGTGAACTGGATGCTATTTCTGCATGCATCATAGGATACATTCACCTCATTTGTATGTTGATATGTAAAATACATTTTGTACATTTTGTGAGAAAATTGCTAAATTATTTAGATGAAACAAACTAAAATAGTCACCGAAGAAAAAGAAAAATCCATCCGTGTTAGGGAAAGGGCTCCTATGCATTCTCAGTGAGTGTTCCTGAGAGGAGGGTGTGTGCATAGACTTCCCTCTCCTGAGTTTTCATATCCTCACATTCTTTTCCTGTGTTTTTCACAAGCGTATTTGTCAGCACAGGATAAATTCCAAAGCATTTTGTTGAAAGCACAGTGCATTTTTAATGTGTCTCTGAGATGACCTTGCCTAGAGCCCCACCTGACTGAGATTTCTTTATCTTCTAGACTCTGCCCCTGAAGAAGATTCCCTGCAAAGCCAGTGCACCCTCAGGCTCCTTTTTTGCCCGAGACAACACAGCCAATTTCTTATCCTGGTGCCGAGACTTGGGGGTGGACGAAACCTGTCTTTTTGAATCTGAAGGCCTGGGTATGTATTTCTGTCACGACTTCTGTGGAGGGGGTTATGATTACTGCCTTTTCTGCCTTGGTGTGCACCTACAGGTTTTGTGTGCTGCTGCTTTATAGATTATTTTAAACAAGTGGGAGTTAGTTGTAACAAGTCATGGTAGAAAAATGTGTCTGCCATCTTACTGCTGGCCACCTAGGTGATAAAATAATACAGGAGCAGAAAGGGCCGGGCTTTTCACAGCCAGAGCTGAGCGCTATCCACACAAGCTAAGTGCTTGCGCTCCATCAAGGGAGAACTTCAGTGAAGGAAGTTTTTTCTTTGTTGAGACTGAAGTTTACTAGTTTATGTATTTAACTGTTTTTAGGGTTAAAAGTCAGGTGTGTCTGGGGTATTGAAGTAACTTCAGAAGACAGACACCTCAGTGAAAATACATTCCCAGATTGCTGTTTCCTGGTGTTTTTTCTTCTGATTGAATTTTGGCAATCCATTTCCAGACCACACAATGAGATTTTTAATTTCTTGGAAGGAGACATACGATATGTTTAACTAGTGAGTGTTTCCACACTGCCTGACACACTGGGATTAAATGTCCAAGTTACTGCAGAAGTCCCCCTACAGTGTAATTCTAACTTGAAGAATATTGGAACTAAGCTACCCTTACAGAAATGGAGAAAAGTCAAGAATGGAGACTTCTATGGAAAAAGAAAAGTTTTGGCTCTGTTTGTCTAGGGCTTTAAAAATCAATTTACAAAATCACATAATACCAATTATTACCATTCAAGTAAGCCAAGCATCCTTTAGAGAATGAGTCCATAAACAACCTTCCAAACAATTGAAAGAGCCTTTGTCCCTGAGCCTTGGATAATACTATTTCTCTGCTAAACCCAGAAAACTCAATAATGGGAACTTGGCAATTCATATGCTGAGACCATTTGTGTCTGTTCCAAGATGAGGGGATAAGATGAGAGAAAGATGGCCATTCACAGTCTGGGAGTTTCCTCAGTGGAGAAGAGACTAATATCAGTTGAGTGTAGGAGGGTATTCTAAAGTAGAAAGAGAAAGCATGAAGCTGGGTAGTTACACAGTTGTATGGCACACACAGCAGTGCCTCCCTGAAGGCTCATTGAATGAGCAGGCTTTGACTATTGTTGGTGACAGGTATGAGCTTCTGTTGGAGATGGCTCCCCTTCAGCCCAGTAGCGATGTGACAGATAATTTCTAACTTTTAGGGGTGTCTGGTTAGCCGTGAAGAATTATAGGAAGGAAATGAAGAGGAGTGACTTGGAAGCAAACCTAATGTCTAGCAATGTCTGTCGTGTAGCTACAGTCAGTCAAGTGTCAGTCATGAGGACATCCTATGTCTCACCCGGGGAAGGGGACAGTTATCATCACGTTTTAAATTATGAGGTGATCCCCACCTCATAATTTAAAGAATGGCCACACAGGAGAACTGCTTTAGATCTGCATTAATTTATGAATTTGATTATTGTGCAGGGTTTTATTAAAGATGCATTTTTAACTTACTGGTAAAATTTAGTACAAATGGGTTATAAATAGCTCTGCATATTGCTGTGGTCTTCATTGGTTTTCTCCAAATCTGAGTCCTTTTGTTGTCTGGACTAATAGGACTTTCCGTAGAATCCAGCAGGAGTCAATGTGGTACCAGATTCCTCCTTGGAAATACCTCTGCAATTCACATTTGTGGTGTACCTTTATGCTCTGGAAAGTCCAATTCAATTTACCTCATAAATAATATATTTTGTCTGGAAACTGTAGACACTAAAGAAATTTATTTCATGATCTTGGTGTGTAACCGTATAGTTAAGTAAAGAAAAATTAGACAGCCTGCATCTTCCTGTTACAAAACAAGGTGGCTTTATCAAAAGAAAGTTTGTGATAATTTATATATAAAGAAATATTATATGTTCTGTTCCTTAGACACTTAATTTTGATGTATCTTAGCTTTAACTTTAAATTAAAATGTATTTAAATGTTCAAGTAGATTCAATAAACCCAAGATTTCAGGTCTTCTAAAATTTAAAGATTATTTTTAAGATCAGTACCAAACTAAAACCAGATAATCAGGCTCTCTGTTTGCTGCTCAATTAAAAATACATTTGAAATTTCAGGGGGTGAGAGTGGGTATACGGGGGTATATTATAGGCCCAGGGACCCAGTGAAGAGGGTCAGGATTATAGCATTGATTTAGGATTAGTTGGAGAAAGGAAACAGCTGGGCCCATGGATATTAATGACAATAAAGAGGAAGGACAAAGAAAAAATCTCATTTCCCAGAGGAGCCTTTCTCCCTGGGTGTTTTTATTATTTATTCTTCACTGTTGAGGATGCTACAGAGCCATGCTGCCGGCCTTGGCCTTGGCCTTTTCCACAACAATGGTGCTGTGTGCTCTGCTTGAGGTCTTTCACGCTTCACTTTTGAAAGGGAATTTAGGGCAAGGTTTTTCTTTTTCCTTTTTTTGCCCTACCTCAAGATTTCGTTTCAGTGGTGTGTGATGAAGAACATCCTTTGTGCCCCAGTGTTTTGAACAGAAAGCAAAATGAAAAGATGCCCCGATGAAGGGCAGAATGTGTCTGAGTGACTGATAAACTAGATCACAGTGCTGCCTGTGTGAAGAGGCTTCTGTTCACACTGCTCCGAGGGCTGAGCCTGCACAGAGAAAGCCTCCTTATCTTCGCGGCTGCCAGTAGTTGCTTGCTCTGTGCAGCAGCAGTGTTGCCCGCACTTATTTCTCAGCTGACTTGATCTGCTGTCTTTCCACAGCAGAAATGTCAGGAAATCTCCATGGCGGTGTGGTGGGGACTTGTAGGGAGAACTGGGAGGGTGGCAGCTGCCAAAACCAGGTGTTTCCCAGGTTGCCTTTCTCATTCTGGGAAAACGTTGTACGCAGCACACTGCACAGGCAGGGTGTGACCTGTAGGTCATCCTCTTGTGGTTTGCTTTTATTTTTTCTTTTTTGAAACACTGACTTTTGTAACTCAAACTGGCTCTGAATTTGCTTTGTCCCTGAGGATGACCTTGACCTTTTGTTTGTTTGTTTTGTTTTTGTTTTGCTTTTTGAAACTGGGTTTCTCTGTGTAGATTTCAGTCTGCCCTGGAATTTGCTCTGTAGACCAGGCTGGCCTTGAACTCACAGATATCTGTGTGCACAGCTCTGCCTCCCTGGTGCTGGGATCAAAGATGTGCTCCACCTCCACCCTGCTGACCCTGAACTCTTGGTCCCCTCTCAGCTGGCCAAATACTGACTTCTTCTTTAACTCTGAGTGATAATTTCTTCTATAAATGTCAGTTTTAAATAATAAGATAACCCATGTTCAAATATTGCTTCAAAAATGAGAAAAGAGAAACAGGGAGAAAGGTAATGAAGAACCTACTGAAAAAAAGACTAAGTTGACTAGTTAACTGAGATAAATCACTGGGCATGCTGGTACAATGCTGCCAACGCCTCACTGGTGGGAATAAATGCATGTGATCTGAAATGATATCAGTAAATGAATGTTAAGAAACACCTGCATATAGGATTCTTGAGAATATATTTCTGAAGAAAGTTAGGATGGTAGCTTGTCCCTAGATACAGTAACACAGTTTTAACAAGTTTTTTAAATTTCTACTGACTTCTCTGAAGGAAATTAGAGGGAAACCCTAGTGTCCATTGAGACATTTTAAAAAATAAAAATAAGTATCCCTGGCATTAGATGTTATTTTGAACAAACTATCATGGTCCATAGATATCAAAATCAAAATCATTTTCTTGAGACCATGTAAGGAGTGGGACATAAGGCTCCCACAGTGAATATTAGACATGGTTCTATCTGTGTAGAACAAAGAAGGTCACGTTCATATTGTGGAAGGAGAATGGAGAGTTAGTGGGTTGTAAGTGGTTTGGGCTTCACTTACTAACACACCAGGCCTCCTAACTGACAAGTCACAGCTTGTGCTTGGAGACAGTGAGGACTTGCTTAGTGTGTCTTAAAGAAGTTGGGATCATTCATGACTTTCATACAGTCACACTCTGTTAAAGCCTTTCCACTCAGGCTGTGCGGAGCAGGTGACGGAACTGCGTGGAGCCATGGCACAGAAGCCATGGCTCTGCATACTCTGTAGAGCTGTCGCTCTGTTTGTCTCCATGTGATACCTCAGTGAGGCCAATACTCCTCTGTGACTCGGCCTCTCAGTGTTTACCATTGTGCTTTTCATGGAAAAAGATGGCCATGGAGATTTTCTTGAATTTAGAAGTTTGTTGTTCATCAGCTCAGTATCAGAATAATCAGAATAATTCCTCGTTTCTCCTTTTAGTGTGTGTTTAATAATGGAGTAATAAACACAGTTACACAGTTTAGAACACAAAAGGGGTGAAAGTATCTTTTTTAATTTCAGAGATATATAAAGATTATTAGACTGTATTGGTCAGTAATCCTTCCATCAGTAATCAATGAATTTTCAAATGTTAATTTAGGATTTTAACCACCTTTAAAATGACACTGGTTATTTTTATGGGTCTTGTTTTGTTATTTAAATTAATGTCAGAAATATATTATTTATTCCAAGTTTAAAATGTTTTAAATTTTGTCTTAAGATTGATGCTCTTACATGCTTTTCTCAGGTTTTAAAGTACAGTCCATTTTCTTTACTAGTGATGCTTTTATTTGTAAGGAGCATCTGCAGCCCACAGTAGCAAACTGGTGTAGGATATATTAAGTTATTAATTTTATTTCTGTAAACATGTTTGATTTGCTCTGTTCATACACATTTTTGTTATCTGGGCAATGGAGGGAGGGTCAGGGAATTCTAAAAGCACACATTTTGCTTGACATACTTATATCAATATCAACATGTTGTTGGCTGATTGTAGGACCTGGAGCGCAGTGACTGTTCATCTGTTTCTCAGAGAAAGAATCTGCCCACCGAGAGACGGGTTTGCTGTCTGCTGTGTAGCATGTACTGTGTGGCTCGTGTGACTGTCGCTCTAATTCTGGTTCCCTGTGTCTGTGCTCGTGTGG